CACTCCTGTGAGGTCCCCAGCTTGGTTTCTGCAGAGTTCCTGCCCTGTCCCAGGCCTGCTCCTGGAGCTGCAGTAGGTCATTCCAGAAGGATTTCCCCCCTCCCGTGGGAGCTGCAGGAAGGTCCCTCAGTAGCTGGGGAGTGCAGCCCTCACACAGCACCTCCCTGAGGGGTGTTTGACCTTGGAGCTCCCTTAACTCTGCCTTCACGTATATGGTGATGGAGTACTGTGTGTGTGGGATGCAGGAGATGCTGGACAGTGTCCCAGAAAAGAGGTTTCCAGTGTTTCAGGCTCACGGGTAAGTTTTGTTCCTCTCACCACTGTGCTCTCTCTCGAGCTGGAGAGCTCTGCTCAGGCTGCACGTGAAAGCAAACCTGGCTGTGTGCAATAATTTAATCTTTTACACCCCTGCAAAAAGTGAAAAGCTCTTGAAGTGGTGGCAGGGATTATCCTTAGATTTTGGGAAGGAAAACCATCTTTCCTTTGTTTTTTCTGTTACTTTTATTTAACTCCCTGAGCTGCCCAACAGCTCTTCCTGGCCCTCGTCCTCCTGCAGTGCCTAGGGGTGCAAAGGGGGGAATCTCCTGCTTAAATGGAGGCCAAGCCACAGTTCAGCATCAGAAGAGAGATTAAAGGCCTTGGGATGGATTAGGGATTGGCAATATCCAGCATGATCTCTTAGCCTGGTTAGTTAGCAGACAGGATAAGCTGGAGCCCCTTTCACTCTGCAAGGGAAGAAACCTGAAAATTCTGGGAATAAAAGATTGTCACGATCAAATCAGGGCAGAGCAGCAAACCTGTGGCAACTGCATGATTTTCTGGTCATATTTTCATTTTGTTTAAGAGATCTGTGGGATTACAGACAGCCTAAGTGAAATTCAGGCACACTATTACTATTCCTGGGCATTATGAGATGAAACACTTGCCTGCTGCCAGGCTGTGCGTGCTGTGCTGGTGATAGCCCAGAGTCTCTGACCACGAGCACAGCAAAAAGCTCCTTTCTACTGGCTAAAAGTCTTTTGATTTTTCCCTCTGCCTCTCTCTGCAGGTACTTTTGTCAGCTTATAGATGGCTTAGAATACTTGCACAGCCAAGGGATTGTCCACAAGGATATCAAACCGGGGAACCTCCTGCTAACAACCAACGGGACACTAAAAATATCCGATTTAGGCGTAGCAGAGGTATGTGAGAAGTGCAGCAACGGGACATTCTAGATTGAGGTCACCTCTGTGGTGTCATTGATTTACTGTGCATTTAGGCTTTTGTTCTGTTGCGCTCGCAGAGCGCTCCGAGTGACTCTGAATATTTATTGCAATTGGCAAAGCGCTTTTGTTGGTAACAGCATGAAACCTCCACTCAGGAAGCACAGAGAGGAAGACATCAATCTTGGACAAGTCCAAAAGTGGGGGCAAATGGGGATAAGCTGCATAACCTTATCCTCTTTTTTTATGTGGAGACTGTGCTAGGTGGAAGAGGTGCAAGGCTTGTCGCTGTGGTGTGTGCTTGCTGTGGTGGCTTGTTCTCATCATCTGTAGATGTTCAGTAGAGGAGTTTTCCCCTTTTATTTCCCAGGTGGAACTTTTCCAACAGTCAGTTTGTTTTCCTTGGAGGTCTGACAGTGGTCTCTCCCGCAGGCATTGCATCCGTTTGCGGAGGACGACACGTGCAGGACGAGCCAAGGGTCGCCAGCATTCCAGCCCCCAGAAATTGCCAACGGCCTTGACACCTTTTCAGGCTTTAAAGTCGACATCTGGTCCGCGGGGGTGACGCTGTGAGTGCCCAGAACCCCCAGGAACTGGATAGCAAATTACACTCCCAGGGAGCTCAGTCCGGGCCAGCCGCTGTCACTGCTGCTCTCGTGTGTTGGGGGAACAGGGAGGGGAGTGCTGGTCCCTCCTGGGGGGGATTTGTGCTCCCCAAAGTACCTGTAATTCTAAAGAAGATCATCTTTTCTCTCTGTGGGCGACTCTGCAGCTGTTGCTCAGCACCCAGAGGCACAGCTGCTGCAGTAACAGAAACCACAAGTATTTATTTTAAAGTTTCTGCTGTCCCGGGCTGTCGGGGAGATGTCCTGGTGGTTTTGACTTGTGTGAGTGAAGAGCTGTGATGAAGGAAGGCTAAGTTTAAAGAGGCATTCCACATACTGTCCAATATTCCTCTTTTAGTTCCCTCTTGGCTCCTTTTGGTTTACGTAGCCGTGTAAGAACTGAGCACCTGGTGTGCTGCTTCTTATCCAGCTTCTCCTTCTGCCTCCACAGATACAACATCACAACGGGTCTGTACCCTTTTGAGGGGGATAATATCTATAAATTATTTGAAAACATCGGGAAAGGTGACTACACAATTCCAGAGGATTGTGGTCCTCCACTCTCGGACCTACTGAGAGGTGAGTCTCCCAGGTGGCTCCAAAAGGGTAACATTTATCGATGCAACAACTGCTCAGCTTGCACAGTGCCGGGCAGAGCTTCCTTCCAAGCGTCCTGTGGAGATGCAGGATCCTGTTAGACAGGGAGGTTGTGCTTTTTTACAGCCTCTGAAAAAGATCCTTACTACTGGTATTTTCCTGAGATCCACTTACCCCTGCACGGCTCTTGCAGTCGTTGGTTCTTGCATTATGTTCCTTGTGCTCTGGGAAGCTTTTACACCTAAAGGCAAAGCCCAGAAGAAGTTAAATTTAAAATGGCATCGTAGCATTGATGCAGGTTTTGCCAGTGAGAACACTCAGGTGCCTTGTCCAGGTTTTCCCTAAAGTGAAACACTGACTATTCAGGGTCTGCTGTCCTTCCCCATCAGCTTCTGCTCAGCAGGCAGGCTAGAGAGCCCCTTTGGCAGCAGAGGGGATGTGATTCCAGCCCATGGGAGAGCCTGACCAGCATTGCTACTGCCTCCTTGGCACTGGAACAGCCAAGCGCAGCCATGCTCCTCAACCTGACTCGTCCTCTCCTTCCCTTTCACAGCTCTTTTTAGTGAGAGATCAGCCCCAGTTATGGGAGGTTTGTCTTGTTTCACATTGGAGCTCCTGGTCCTTGTGCTGTGTGGGGTTGCTGAGGGGTTGGGGGCACCGAGTCTCGCTGCCGGGCTCCCCTCTCAGTGCCAGGCTCCCCTCTCGGTGCCGGGCTCCCCTCTCTCTGCAGGGCTCCCCTCTCTCTGCAGGGCTCCCCTCTCTCTGCAGGGCTCCCCTCTCTCTGCAGGGNAGCCCAGAACTGTCACTGGGAGATGGGGTCTCTCTGGGGACGTCTCCCTGTTTCTGTCACTCCTGTGAGGTCCCCAGCTTGGTTTCTGCAGAGTTCCTGCCCTGTCCCAGGCCTGCTCCTGGAGCTGCAGTAGGTCATTCCAGAAGGATTTCCCCCCTCCCGTGGGAGCTGCAGGAAGGTCCCTCAGTAGCTGGGGAGTGCAGCCCTCACACAGCACCTCCCTGAGGGGTGTTTGACCTTGGAGCTTCCTTAACTCTGCCTTCACGTATATGGTGATGGAGTACTGTGTGTGTGGGATGCAGGAGATGCTGGACAGTGTCCCAGAAAAGAGGTTTCCAGTGTTTCAGGCTCACGGGTAAGTTTTGTTCCTCTCACCACTGTGCTCTCTCTCGAGCTGGAGAGCTCTGCTCAGGCTGCACGTGAAAGCAAACCTGGCTGTGTGCAATAATTTAATCTTTTACACTCCTGCAAAAAGTGAAAAGCTGTTGAAGTGGTGGCAGGGATTATCCTTAGATTTTGGGAAGGAAAACCATCTTTCCTTTGTTTTTTCTGTTACTTTTATTTAACTCCCTGAGCTGCCCAACAGCTCTTCCTGGCCCTCGTCCTCCTGCAGTGCCCAGGGGTGCAAAGGGGGGAATCTCCTGCTTAAATGGAGGCCAAGCCACAGTTCAGCATCAGAAGAGAGATTAAAGGCCTTGGGATGGATTAGGGATTGGCAATATCCAGCATGATCTCTTAGCCTGGTTAGTTAGCAGACAGGATAAGCTGGAGCCCCTTTCACTCTGCAAGGGAAGAAACCTGAAAATTCTGGGAATAAAAGATTGTCACGATCAAATCAGGGCAGAGCAGCAAACTTGTGGCAACTGCATGATTTTATGGTCATATTTTCATTTTGTTTAAGAGATCTGTGGGACTGCAGACAGCCTAAGTGAAATTCAGGCACACTAATACTATTCCTGGGCATTATGAGATGAAACACTTGCCTGCTGCCAGGCTGTGCTGTGCTGGTGATAGCCCAGAGTCTCTGACCACGAGCACAGCAAAAAGCTCCTTTCTACCGGCTAAAAGTCTTTTGATTTTTCCCTCTGCCTCTCTCTGCAGGTACTTTTGTCAGCTTATAGATGGCTTAGAATACTTGCACAGCCAAGGGATTGTCCACAAGGATATCAAACCGGGGAACCTCCTGCTAACAACCAACGGGACACTAAAAATATCCGATTTAGGCGTAGCAGAGGTATGTGAGAAGTGCAGCAACGGGACATTCTAGATTGAGGTCACCTCTGTGGTGTCATTGATTTACTGTGCATTTAGGCTTTTGTTCTGTTGCGCTCGCAGAGCGCTCCGAGTGACTCTGAATATTTATTGCAATTGGCAAAGCGCTTTTGTTGGTAACAGCATGAAACCTCCACTCAGGAAGCACAGAGAGGAAGACATCAATCTTGGACAAGCCCAGAAGTGGGGGCAAATGGGGATAAGCTGCATAACCTTATCCTCTTTTTTTATGTGGAGACTGTGCTAGGTGGAAGAGGTGCAAGGCTTGTCGCTGTGGTGTGTGCTTGCTGTGGTGGCTTGTTCTCATCATCTGTAGATGTTCAGTAGAGGAGTTTTCCCCTTTTATTTCCCAGGTGGAACTTTTCCAACAGTCAGTTTGTTTTCCTTGGAGGTCTGACAGTGGTCTCTCCCACAGGCATTGCATCCATTTGCGGAGGACGACACGTGCAGGACGAGCCAAGGGTCGCCAGCATTCCAGCCCCCAGAAATTGCCAACGGCCTTGACACCTTTTCAGGCTTTAAAGTCGACATCTGGTCCGCGGGGGTGACGCTGTGAGTGCCCAGAACCCCCAGGAACTGGATAGCAAATTACACTCCCAGGGAGCTCAGTTCGGGCCAGCCGCTGTCACTGCTGCTCTCGTGTGTTGGGGGAGCAGGGAGGGGAGTGCTGGTCCCTCCTGGGGGGGATTTGTGCTCCCCAAAGTACCTGTAATTCTAAAGAAGATCATCTTTTCTCTCTGTGGGCGACTCTGCAGCTGTTGCTCAGCACCCAGAGGCACAGCTGCTGCAGTAACAGAAACCACAAGTATTTATTTTAAAGTTTCTGCTGTCCCGGGCTGTTGGGGAGATGTCCTGGTGGTTTTGACTTGTGTGAGTGAAGAGCTGTGATGAAGGAAGGCTAAGTTTAAAGAGGCATTCCACATACTGTCCAATATTCCTCTTTTAGTTCCCTCTTGGCTCCTTTTGGTTTACGTAGCCGTGTAAGAACTGAGCACCTGGTGTGCTGCTTCTTATCCAGCTTCTCCTTCTGCCTCCACAGATACAACATCACAACGGGTCTGTACCCTTTTGAGGGGGATAATATCTATAAATTATTTGAAAACATCGGGAAAGGCGACTACACAATTCCAGAGGATTGTGGTCTTCCACTCTCGGACCTACTGAGAGGTGAGTCTCCCAGGTGGCTCCAAAAGGGTAACATTTATAGATGCAACAACTGCTCAGCTTGCACAGTGCCGGGCAGAGCTTCCTTCCAAGCGTCCTGTGGAGATGCAGGATCCTGTTAGACAGGGAGGTTGTGCTTTTTTACAGCCTCTGAAAAAGATCCTTAGTACTGGTATTTTCCTGAGATCCACTTACCCCTGCACGGCTCTTGCAGTCGTTGGTTCTTGCATTATGTTCCTTGTGCTCTGGGAAGCTTTTACACCTAAAGGCAAAGCCCAGAAGAAGTTAAATTTAAAATGGCATCGTAGCACTGATGCAGGTTTTGCCAGTGAGAACACTCAGGTGCCTTGTCCAGGTTTTCCCTAAAGTGAAACACTGACTATTCAGGGTCTGCTATCCTTCCCCATCAGCCTCTGCTCAGCAGGCAGGCTGGAGAGCCCCTTTGGCAGCAGAGGGGATGTGATTCCAGCCCATGGGAGAGCCTGACCAGCATTGCTACTGCCTCCTTGGCACTGGAACAGCCAAGTGCAGCCATGCTCCTCAGCCTGGCTCGTCCTCTCCTTCCCTTTCACAGCTCTTTTTAGTGAGAGATCAGCCCCAGTTATGGGAGGTTTGTCTTGTTTCACATTGGAGCTCCTGGTCCTTGTGCTGTGTGGGGTTGCTGAGGGGTTGGGGGCACCGAGTCTTAGTGCCAGGCTCCCCTCTCGCTGCAGGGCTCCCCTCTCAGTGCCAGGCTCCCCTCTCGCTGCAGGGCTCCCCTCTCTCTGCAGGGCTCCCCTCTCTCTGCAGGGCTCCCCTCTCGGTGCCGGGCTCCCCTCTCGCTGCCGGGCTCCCCTCTCTCTGCCGGGCTCCCCTCGGTGCCGGGTCCTGGCTCGGTGCCGGCTGTGCTGGCGGCAGGTGGTGCTGTCAGTCCGAGCTCCTCCAGCGCCGCTGCCGGGGCTCCCTGGACCCCGGCACCGAGGAGGTGCCAGACCCCCCGCCGGCCCCCTCAGAGGCTATTTTAGCTCCTGTGGCCCCGTGCCAGCGATGAAATCAGTTATTTCCATGTGTTTCCAAAGGCATCAGCCAGCTTTAGCAGCTCTCCCCAGGCATTACATAAGGCAGCGCTTCCAATGGCGCTCGGCACAGCCGGGATCCGACTGCTCCGCTGAGCCCGGTGCGGCGGCTGCTCACGGCCAGGACTGCCTGCTGTGCTTCCTGTCAGAGCTGCCTGCCCCAGGGAATGGTGTCTGAGCCCGTGTGGCCTTTGCTCTGTGGCTGCTGACTCCCAGCACAGCCTCTTTATGAGCTGGGACGTGCCCAAATGGAGTAAATCCTGCGGTCCGGCTGGACCAGCTGCCGCCCTCCTGAAGCATCCAGCAGAACTCCCTGGAGGTTTCTGATCAGTCTTTCAGCTGCACTTAGTGCTTCCCCCAGGGAAAAGGAGTGTGGCAGTTTTCTCTTTTTCCTGTGCTGAGGATATTGACAGCTTAAAATCTTATGCTCTATTAGCACAATAACTCCCTTTTTAGTTCTCTTTCCGCCCCTGCGTGAGATCTGGAGTCAGAATTTCCTCCTCTTCCCTCTGCCTGATTTTACATGGAGAAGCCTTGTACCTGGTGCCCTCTGTCCATGTCTTACAACCTGAATCTCCTTCATCCCTGCTGCTCGCTGGCTCTGTGAATCCCTTTTTTACTTGGGCACCACAGAAGTGCCAGCTGGGTGGGTTTGGTGGGGAGAGGAGCTTGTCTGGGTGGAGGTGGATGTGTCCCCTTCTTCCAGGGTGGTGGGAAGCCCTAAGGATCCCTTTTCTTCTCCTCCCACCCACTTGAGAACAGGCTCCCACCCCTCACCTTGCCATATGCACGTGGTACACTGTAAAAGCTGGCAAAACCTCCCGGTGCTTCTCTTGGCTTGGTGTGACATACATTTTCCAGTGGTCACACTGCCCGGTGGCCTCAAGGTGGATGAATTCTGGGGCGGGATTGCCCCGGTTCCCCCTGCTCTGGAGGCCTGATCAGCTCCTCAGCACCTGCCCAGGCCCAGGGCTGAGCTGTGCAGTGCTGGCTCTGTGTAGCTATGGTGACAGACCTGGATGCTTTATTTAGTTCCTGCTTTTCCTCCACAAGGTCTGCATTTCCTGGTCAGTGCCCGCTCCTCCTGCAGTGAGCAGGAGCTGAATCCAGGTTAGACATTGTCAGTGGCTGGTGGATGTGCCTGTGTGAGCAGCACAGACACCCCCAGCTCAGCTCTGTCTCGCTGGAGGTTTCATGTTGCCTTTGTGTTGCTTTGAAAGGCTCTAAAAGCCCTTGCAGGGCTTGGAGTGCTTGGTCTGGGTCTAGTGTGAGGCAGAATTCAGTGCTGCAAAGTGCTCATTTCCTCTGTCTGCGGGGGCTGTGCTGACCACAGGCCCTGCAGGGCTGTGAACAAAACACAAACGCTTTTTAAGGTTTTCCTGTTCTTCTCTTGACCACTTTTGTAGTGTTTCTTTACTTTTTCTTCCCCTTGAGCTTTTTTTTTATCTTTGTTCCCCTTTCCAGAAGAGCAGAGTTTAGAGGACTTAAATCTTCTGTGGTATTTGGCTTGTGAAGAGACTCGCATGACAGTATATCCCACAGATTAGTTGGGATGCTGCTCCTCATTTTGCCTCCCTAATCAGGGATGAAGCTTTATTTATACTCCTCAGGGATGGGAAGGAGAAGGGCTGGTGCTGCTCTGTGTGTGCACTCAGGAGAGATGTGTCAGAGTGGAAGAGTTTATAAATAGCCTTAAGGTTCTTCTGGCAGCATCAGCCCATGGCTTATCAACTGTGTGCACTTTGCTTCTGGACCAGAATAATGCACAAGGTCAGCTTTCCTCCTCCTGGTAATAGACTTTTACTGGAAGGGGAAGCTCTGAGGCTGCAGCTCTGCATTAATCAGCATCTGAATTGATTTCCAGGCCCTGTGACCTGGGACACGGTGGTTGGTTCCGTAGCAGTTTGTTTCCTCGCTGCCATGACCTTTCCTTGCCCAGACAGAGAGAGGATATGTGTCCTGGTGACAGTGGGATGCTTTAACTGTGCCATGGCAGGAGTCTCTGGAGCTGGCAGGAGGGTGTTTGTGCCCATCCAGAGGCCTGTGCTGGATCAAAGGCCCGGGATTTGCCTGCAGAGGGAGTTTGTGGCCGGAACAGCCGGCTGAGCGTGTGCAGGGAGAGGGAGAAAGTCCTGTCTCCATTTACAGATCGGCCTCACACTGCTTTTATAGCGGTGGTTTAAACATTCATCTGAGCTGGAGACTGAAGTGAAATCCAGGATGAGTTCGTTAACCTTGCTGCTGGATTTCTTCCTGCTTCTCCAGTCCCATACCTGAGACTTTACGTGATTTGAGGGGGGTTTGAGGCTGTGGAGGTGCTGCAGTGGGCACGATACCCCCATGTGGGTACGATTGTGTAGGATCTGTTCTTATCAGTTTAGTACCTGATACATCCTCGATGAGGGGACTTTACCTTTCAGGAATAATTTCCTCATGGAAAGGGTGGTCAGGCATTGGCAGGGGCTGCCCAGGGAGGTTTGGAGTGCCCAGCCCTGGGGAAGGCCTGGCCGTGGCACTCAGTGCTCTGGGCTGGGGGACAAGGTGGGCATCGGGCACAGGGGGCACTGAGTGACCTCGGAGGGCTTTCCCAGCCCCAGGGATCCTGTGGTAGCCCATGTATGGGAACGGTGAGGAGCAGGGGCTGGACTGGGCCTCCCGAGGCAGGGCCCTGGCACAGCCTGTGCCGTCCCCACGCGCAGATAAACTCGGGGAAGGCTTTACCCTACATGGCAGCGAGCGGCTCCCCGGGCAGACGCTCCAGGATGACTGGCCTGCTGAATAGAACATGATGTTTTGTCTTGAGGGAGCCTCTCCTCAGAGCAGGACTCAAGCCACGGAGCTGCCACGAGTGACTCAGAGCTGAATGTATGAATGTACATTTTCAGTGAGGAGGCTTTCCGTTTTCTTTCAAACCTTGCCCCGAGTGTGGTCATTTTTCATTAAAGTAAATACTCTTTTTGGTCGGTTCTTTTCTTTCTGCCTTTTTAATGGCTTGAGAGCGACAGCTCTCTGTGCATTGGCTCTTTGTTACTGCTGCTCTTGGGCCTCTTTTAATCATTTACCTTAAACTTCTTCCTCTGCTTGTGCGGGTTTCATCTGGTAAACGCCTTACATTTCAAAACCACCTTGAAATGTGGTCTTAAAATAAATAAACTGGGGAAGCAGCTGGTGCCCTGAGTTCCCTGTTTCTGATGACATTAATAAGAGAACCCAGCCAGAACTTGCTGTCTGATCATCTTATTAATAGGTCCTTTAATTAGGTGCAGGTTTGTTTTTTTTTTTTTTCCTCTGAACTTATTTCTTTTTCTGTGAGGTGAGGAGAAATTCCATCTGAACGTGAGAAAACTCCTTTGCTGCCAGGACTGAGCTCTGGAACAGGTTGCATGGGGGGGGTTGTGGAGTTTCCATCCTCAGAGACATTCCAAACCCATTCCAAACAATCCAAAACTCTGAGGAGTTGGGCTCTGAGGACTCCAGTGCCTCAAGTTCCTGGCATGCACCTGACCTCTAACCTGGAGAGCTCTTTCCGTGTTTCTTTGACCTACTTCATGTGATGTCATGGGGATCAGCAGGGATCCCATCTGCCTTAAAGCTCTTAGTGCTGTCACCAGCACAGATAAACCTTCACAGATTGCCAGGGCCAGTTGTATTTTGGGTTCTGGGGGGAAATAACTTCAGCCCTCCCTCACTGTGCTGTCCTGTCCCCCCTCTTTGCCCATGCTGTTACTGTCAGGGGTGTGGTGAGGAACAGCCTGACAGGGAAGATACTCTGGAGCAGCTTTTATTACCACACATGCTGTCGTGATTATCTCTTCCATGACCTTTGACTTGCAGAATCTAACCTGCAAAAGATCCTTGCAGCTTCCTGCTTGAACTAGGATATCTCCTTCCAGCCCCTCCCCTTCCCAAGTGTCCATCCAGCTGTCTCCCCCATCCCTGTGTTCTCTCTCTGTCCTTATCCTGGCTCTCCCCAACCCTCTGCACTCTTTGCTGCTGTCCTGACTTTCCAAACTCCTGTTTGACAGTCAGTATATTCCTGGAACTTTCATTGGAGAATGTGGTGGATGCTGCTGGATGAGGCTCCTAAGGTCCCACTGGCTCATTCTGAAGAATAGGGCAAAACTTGCTCCTTCCCTTCTGTGGAGCTGTGAAGCTTCTCAAAGGCAGCGGGGCAGAGTGGGCACCCTGGGAGGCTGTTAAAGGAATCCATCTCCCTCTCAGATGAGCTGCTTTTCCTCACCCCCACCCAGTTACCTCAGCAGATGGATCCCAGAAATCCAAGCCCTGGCCAGGGCACAAGGATGGGCAGTAGGCTCTACCAGACTGTGTCTCCAGAATAGAATTCCCCTAGACTGGAGTATCTGGGACACTGAGCAACTGGACATATGCTGTGCCTGAGGCTTTGGCTCTTCCATGGAGAAGGTTCAGTGGAATTATCTGTGAAATGCAAAGTCTTGATGCTCTTTGCCTGGAGATCACACATGGTTGGACCTGTGATCCCGGGCTGGAGAAGCCTCAGTCCCTGCACTGGGAGGGAGAGAGGGGCTGGATCTGCTTTGCAGGTGGGAAACTGAGGAACAGACTGGATCAGGTAGTTATCAGTGGGGTTGGGATTTTGTGCTGAGCTTCCTGTGGCTGATGCTGCAGATCCTGCCTGGAGCTGCCAGGACTGGGCACAGTGTGGCTGTTGGGGAGGGAGGGGAGGGGAAGGCAGAGCTTTGTGCTTCCTGGCCTTGGCTCATCTGAGAGTGCCTGTGATCACACCTGGCCTTTTCTGCTTCTTTTCAGGGATGCTGGAATACGACCCAGCCAAGAGGTTCTCAATACAGCAGATAAGGCAGCACAAGTGAGTGTTATCAGCCCTTCCCTTCCTGCTCCTGTACCTGTGCTCCCGCTCTCACCTCCTGTTTCCTTTTGACAGCAGACACATGGAAGTCACTCAGTCTCCTTCCTCCAGCTCTGCTGGGGCTCTGGCAGCCTCCACTTGGCTTTTTTCCTCTATTAGAGCATCCGGTAAAGCAGTGGAATTGCTAACCAGTAAATTAGGGATACGTTGGAAGTCTGTTTGTGGCATGCCTGCTTCTGGATGATTAAGGGTTCTGGATAATTTTTTCCAGAGGCCAGCAAGTACTAATGGAGCGGAAAAGGGGATCCTTAAAGCTGGGTTATTGAAGTGGGGCTGCTCAGTAACGTGTGTTAGCTCTGGCCAGTCCGGGGACAGAAACATCCCCTGGCATTTGCTCCATATGGAATCAATATGTGCAGAAGCGTTCCAGGACAATAGGAAATTTTTTTTTTTCTTCCTCTTTAATATCAGAGGCTTCCCTCCCCCATATCCCTCCCCCGTTTTCCGTGCCGCAGTCGGGGGGGAAATGCCCCGTTATCGCCGAGGGTTTTTTTTTTAAGGATCTGTTTGAACATGCTGGCTCTGAGCAGAGATTTCCTGGGCGGATAAAAGTACAAGAACAAAAAGCATCATGAGGGTGCTTCGCTGCGGAGGCTGCATCAGTTTATCTCCTCTTGGAATGGGAAGTGCTTCTGAGGACAGGCAGAGCAGCCTCTGGACCGCAGCTGCTCAGCACAGGCGCTGTCTGTGAGCCTGCCCAGGAAAAGCAAGGATGTGATTGAGCTGTGGAAAAGCAGGGATGTGATCTGGGATGGTGCTGAGCCCGCTCTGTGCTGCAGGAACAGCGCTGCTTTCCCCCTGTGTCTCTGGAAAAGCCTGGCCATCGTAGCCATGGGCTGTCAGGGGATGGTCCCTGTGAGGTGTCCAAGGAGCCACAGCCAGAACTGAGAGACCCAGGGTGCTCTTCAGCTCCACAGGGAGCAGAGGGGCTGGGGGAGCAGGGCTTATAGAGCTGCCCAGGCAGTGAATTAAACAGCCAGGCCCTGTGCCTGGGTGGCTTCAGTGGCTCTGGGTGATGATGGGTGCAGGCATTTGCTGTTCAAGCCTTGCCTTTCCCTGCATGGGCCCCCCTGTACCAGTGGCCACGGCCAGAGGGGATCAGCTTGCCATGCAGGCAAACCCATGCTTTGTCAGGTAGCACTGGAAAGAAGCAGGAATGAAGTCTGTGGATTCATCAATAGGTCTTGAGAAAACCACTAAAAGCACTTTCTTTTCTGTGGGTGCAGAGGCTGGCCCTGAGCTTGGGCACGGCCCTGGGTCCTCGTGGGTCACTGCTGGGTGTTTGAGCTGGTTCCCCAAGCCCAGGTACTCCATTTTACCCTCCTCCCACGTGGCAGTGAGTTTCTGTGTCAGTGTTGCTTAGCTGGAGGCACAGAGGTGTCTCCAGAGCCCCTGCCTGTGGCTAGAAAGCCAGAGAAACGGGAGCAGGGCTCTGGCACGGGGCAGCTGTGGAGCTCCCGTGCTCTGTGGCACAGCTGCTGTGCCCAGGCTTCTCATCCCACAGCACTGAGAGGGGCTGAGGAAAGGTTCTGCCTGCAAACCCAGGAGCATTTCCAAGGCTTAGGCTCTTATTAGTTTTGTGTGAGCTTAGCCAGTGCTTCTTAACAGGCTTTTCTCCTCTATTAGTAATTGCCTCCTTCCTCCTGCTGTGGCATCTAATAATTACATCAAGCACAGCAGAGCCTGCAGCCTTAGGCCTTGGATGTGTCTGTCCAGCTCCTTTTTGTGCTAAAGAATCCAGGGCTTGGTTCTCCTGCCTTTTCTTTAAATAGAAGCTTAGCCCTGATGCTTAACCTGACCCTGATTTTTTTTGTAAATGGAACACAGGAGTCAGGACAGCAGGGAGCCCCTGGATACTGTCAGAGGGTTTTGGGAAAGCACTCTAGTACGAAGAGGTTTGATTTCTAGAGTCCTTAGATTTGGGAGCAGGGGAGGGAGTAAGTCATTAATGATTTTGGGTTTCTCTACACTCCTCCCCCAAAGCCGTGTGCTGAGGCACAGGAACTAGACAGAAAAACATCAAGCGCCATCCCCAGGCTGCCCTGCTGGGATGGATCCCGGCTCAAACCAGAAGCACCCGGTGTCTTTCCGTGCTGCTGGAAGTCTCCTTTCATGTTTTTGAGCTGCTGTTCCTGGGGACTGGCTCGTATGGACAGTCAGGATCATCAAAGAGCTGTGAAAGCAGCAGGAACAGCCCCCGGGCCCGGGCAGGGGTTTGTTTGGAGCCGAGCGTGGCTGGGCCAGGCTCGTGTGGGGGTGACTGATGGGGAGGGGCCGTGTGCCCCTGTCCAAGGGAGGCATCACAGAGAGGGTGTCCTGCAGCCACGAAGCTGGGTGCTCAGGGCACACCTCCCCCTGTTCACCTGCCTGCAGGGTGAGGGCTCCTGCTGCGGGACCAGGATGGATTCAGTGGCTCGGGGGGGCACTGAGGAAGCACAGAGTGGTCCGTGGGGCAGCAGAGCTGCAGGAGGCAGGGAAGGCAGCCAGGCTCGTGTCACTGCCCAGCTCTGGTAATCCTGCTGTTCCTCCCGTTATTCCTGTCAGCTATTCCAAATGCTTTTCCCCCTGAAGCAGCAGCCCTGGCTGAGGAATGCTGGAGGAAGAGTCTGCTGAGTTTCATCCCTGCCAGCTGCCTTCCTCACTCCTGCAGCTGAACTTGTGCATCAGACTCCTGTCTCTGCACTTCCACTGGAGCAGGACAGAGCAAGATGTGCTGCTCTGCTCAGCCCAGTTCGTGCAGACCAAACCTGGAGTTGTAAATGGAAATGAGTTAAACCTCTCCCAGCCTCATCTCAGAGCTTAGGAACTGCCTGAGTTCCCTGAATAGCACTGGAAGAGCCTGGATATTGACTCTTCCTGGGAGGATCCAGGTGGGATGATGTTCAGTGGGAAACTGATGCTCGTAGCTCGCCTCTAGGAATATTTGGTGGTCCTGGGCTGGGAAGGGAAAGCTGCCAAGAGCCAGGGAGTTCCAACTTGGACTATCCCCCTCCTCCCCTCTGCCCTGTGCTTTTGCTGAAGGGCTTCGTGCTCATACACTGCATTTTGGAACTAATTCACTGACCTGCTGCAGCACTTAAAGTGATGAAGTGGATGCAGAATTCTACCTCTGTCCCTTGTTTCCAAGGCAACCATCTTCCCTTCCCTCTCCACGAGTGTCACACTTAATTTGTTCAGCCGCAGATCCGATTGCAGGAGTTCATAGCACGAGAGGGGAGGCACTTCCACCTTTTATTAGCCAAGGTGCAAGTTAACCTGCTGGGCTGGGGTCTCCTCCTGCCCTCCTGGAGGCTGCTGTGCCACCTCCCCCACCACTCCTGCTCTCCCCAGGGGGCTGGAGAGTCGCTCTGGGATGCTGTGCTGTTCCAACCTGGGTACTGAAGGGAGCTGGGGCAGGGATTGCAGGGACACTGCTGGCGTGTGGTGCCCTTCCCTGTGCCTTCCACCATTGCCTGTGAGGGGACTGAGTTAAACTGGAACCCTGTTATCTGCTGCTTGTGGTGACAGTGACCTTCCCGTGAGCTCCAGGCCCTTGCATGGCATCACAGGAGGTGGGGAATGGCTGCCAGGGCAGGAACCTGCAGCTTGGCCTCTGCTCCCAGGGAGAATCACCCGAGTACAAACCAAGCAAACTGCAGAGTTTGTGACCCAAGTGGGAAGTGGGCAGCTGGCAGTGTTGGGAAGCTGCAGCTGTGCTTACGGATTCTTGATTTAAGCTTGCTTGTACCAGAGCTTGAAAAGAGCAGAGAGAGGACTTGTGATGGGAGATCTGAGCTTGGGAGCTGCAAACCAGGCGGGCTCATTAAGCACTGGGCAACCCAGATTCCTCTTTTCCTTCAGGCCTTGACCCTCGCTGCGTTATCTCCCTGTGGCTGACAGCAGCTGGCTGGGCACCCCTTCTGCCTGCCAGGATCACAGTTAACACTTTGTGCCACTGCTGGCTGGGGCTTCTGAGCTTGCAGGTGCCTCAACGAGCTTGTGGAGTAGGAAGAAATGAACTCTTACTACTGCTGCCTTCACCCTGAAACATTTCTTAGCCACTCCCAGCCCTTTGGAACAGAGACCAGAGAGGAATCTGCCTCTTCCAGGGGATGTTCTGGACAAGGGGCACTTCCGAGATACCAAAAATCTTTTCTTCCCCCTCAGGGTTAAAGCAGCCACCACAAGCACCAGGTAACTGTGTGTGTGCCAGTGGAGTTGGCTCAGAAAACATCCCTGAAACTGGGAAAAATAGGTGAGACAGGGCACTCATCAGCAGGGCTCTGACCCAGCTGGTGTTTTACCTTGGTGGTAAGGGCAGAGTGAGGAGGGGCTTTATCTCATCCTCATCACTGCCCAGGAGTTGCTGCTTTCTGGCTCAGGCAGTGGCCAGTGGCTTCCCGAGGCAGATCAGGGTGTTGCTGGAGCCAGTGGTCCTCAGCTGCAGAGCAAACCTTCGCTAACAACCTCCAGCACCAGGGCAGAAAGTGGAATGTCTGTCCCTGCTGGAAAATCCTTGCCAGGAAATACTCCGCTACTCTGCACAGAATTGCTTGAGGCTCCTTCCAAGAGGTCTTTGATTTTTCTTAGAACTTCAATGGATTTCTCTTCTCACTCTCTGTCCTCATTACCATATATGCATATGCAAGTGTTTGAAATCACCTCCCGGAGGATGGAAGCATAATGACTGGAGTACAGTGATTCAGGTTTCTGCTGCTAATAAAAACCTATTTTTACTCTCCTGGTAAGTAGGACAGGAGGGAAGAGTGAGGCAGAGCTGAAATACAGCAAAATAAAAACACAGGGTGCTGTAGATTTCCAGGCTTTTTCCCTTTAAAATTCTCCTGTTAACAGCAGCCACTCTGATCTCATTTGTCCTGGATATTCCCTTCTCCCGAGGTCTCTGGTGCTGAGTTTGGATCCCTCAAGCCCCACAGTGCCCCTGGCAAAAGCAGCTGGTGGCTCTGTGCTGGTGATCCTTGCAGGCTGGATCAGCCCAGGCTGGGTTTGCTGTCTTGGCAGTGGCTTCCTCAGCGATCAGAGTGTCCCAAGGAAGGGAAGTGGATTGATCCGATTAGGAGTGCTGTGTGCCACACACGTCACCGAGAAAGCCGTGCCTGGGATCTGTGGAGAGCCCTTGGCCACGGTCCAGTTACGCTGGTCCCACTCCCTTCCTGCTGGTGTGGGCTTTGCTCGGCTCTGTAGTGCCACTTCAGGGACAGAGGTGACTCCTGCCAGCTGAGATCTGCAGCAGTTCCCATCCCTCCCTGCAAACTCCAGCTTCCTCCCTGCAAACAAGGCACTGCCTGACTCCCAGAGCTGCAGCCTGGCTCCAAAACTCCATCACTGCAGAGAAAACAGTTTAAAGATGCTGATTGTGAAGCAATTTCTGGATAAGAGTTCACCCCTCCCTTGAATCCTGCCTGATTTGTCCCAGTAGCTGCATTTCCATTTGTTTATCTCCTCGCTCAGTGCTTTTGCTGATAGTTTTGTTAGAATCCCACCTTTTTTCAGGCTGACTGTCAAAGCAGTGTAAGACTAGAACAAAATGGTAATTACAGCTCTGCGCAGGAGGTGCCTTCAGCCTGCCTTCCTGAAAGGAGTTTGGAAATGGGGTGATAAAAACCAGATGGCTCAGGTTGGTGAGAACTCTTGGGCTGGCTCAGGCCCTCCTCTGTGCTTGGAGGCCAGGAGTGACTGGATGCCAGCTGTGGAGGGGGAAGCACTCGTGTCCCATCAGGCTTGTGGGGGCTGGAAAGGTGTGTTAGAGGTACCTGGGTCTGCAGGAACCTCTGCTGCCACCTGCACTGAGAGGGTTGCTGGGAGTGCACTCCCAGCAAACTTTGGGTGCAGCACTGGGAGACACCCCAGAGACAGTCTGGAGTCAGAGCCCCGCTCTGGGAGCACGATGAAAACCTAAGAGGTTTATCCCATCTGGCTCTGGGATGCTGCTGGGAAGCAGCCTGCTGGATTCCTGATCTGATTAAGAACAGCTTTCGAAGCCGATATCCTTTCCTGGCCAGATGGGGTTTGGTGGTGATAGGAGTCCCTTGAGACAGAGGGGGATAAAAAGATAGAGTAGAAATGTTTCTGCTGTGGCCTTGGTGCAAAGTGGCTTTTGGAGGAAGCTGCTGCAGTGACTGTCCTGCTTGCTTGGACAACAAAACTCAGGAGCTCCAGCAGCTCTGCTGATGTGTTTTGACTTACAGGTAGTTTGGACTAGAGTTGGTGATGGAGAAAACATTCCTGAGCTGTGTGTCCCGGCCCTTAGCTGCCCCCTGTGCCTGTCCCCCTGTCCCACCCAGTGTGTCCCACAGCAGACTCCAGCACTGACTCCTGGGCAGAGCTGTTGGTTCCTCCTGACCTGCCAGAGCCCGTGGGCAGAGCACATACCTGTCAATCCTGGGGTGGGAGGGGGCTGTCCCGGTGTGGGGGGCTCCTGTGGGCCCCTGCAGTGACCCAGCTGTGCCCTGGGGCTCCTTGCAGCTGGTTTCGGAAGAAACACGCTCAGGCAGAGGCGCTGGTGCCGATCCCGCCCAGCCCCGAGACGAAGGACCGGTGGAGGAGCATGACGGCGGTGCCTTACCTGGAGGATCTGCATGGCTACAACGAGGAGGAGGACGAGGACTTGTATGACATTGAAGATGATATCATCTACACTCAGGACTTCACAGTACCAGGTAGGGGAGAACGATGGGCAGGGCAGAAGTGGTTGGGGGGTTTTTTTTTGGTCCCTTTAGAGCCTTTTGGGAAAGGCCTCGGGTTCTGAACAATCCTTTCAGAGGAGGAGGAGACTGTTGGTTATGGTGTGGTGCTCTGGATGCCTTGATCCTTGATTTGATCAACCAGGATGCCCCTCCCTGTGTTACCCCTGTGCCAACTTCCTTCTCGCAGGAACAGCTGCTGCTGGGCTCTGCTGTTCAGCACAGTTCATTGTTGGGGCCAGTTCTGCTAGAATGAGTGTTTGGGAGCAGAGCCCTGAAGCGACTCTGTGTTCAGGGTACATGGCACACCTGGGGTGTCCCCTGCACACCAGGAGCCTGGTCCCAGCCTGGGCTGTCCGGGTGCTCCCCAGCTCTGTGTCTGCCTGGTGGGTTTGTGTGGTTTGCAGAGGTGGGAGCAGCTGCAGAGGCAATAAAGGGGAATTTTTTCACCCGAGTCTTCCTGCAGGATCCCTTTGAACCTGCTCGGTGTTGTATCTAACAGTGATGCCGTGTTAAAATATAAATTAAAACCCCCTTGTACATGAGGGATCAGTTCAGCTGTGGCTCTGCTGGGCAGCGAGAGCAGGAGTGTGAGTGACTCATAGGTGGGGGTGGGTGTTGGGTTTGTGGGGAGAAGAGGGAACCTCATTAAATCCGGTGTTCTTCAGAGGAAGAAGGGACTTTGAGAAAGTGCTTTCATTTTTAAAGGGTTATTTAAAGATTTATGCAGCTCTGTGGGGAGATGTAAATGTTCCAAGCCCCTGGTTCAATCGGTGTTAAACATCCCATCCGAGGGAAGTGCAGAGGAGAGGATGGCTGTGACCCGAAGGCAGGATCCTTGCGTGCAGTGAAGGGATGGGAATGTCCTGCTCGCTGCTTTTGTGCTGCCTCTCAGATTTGGAGGCCGAGCTCTGCTCTTTCCTCCCCTCCATTAACCCCTCCTGTGCCTCAGCCCTGTTCTGCAGGGCCTGCTCCTGGGATTCTCAGTCTGAGGCTGGGAAATGCAGCCAGGACTGGAGCTCCTGAGCCCAGCCTGGTGCTCGGGAAGGTGCGTTCCTGGCTGCTCACGGTGCCTGCGTGCTCGGTCTGACAAACAGCGATCCCAAACCTCCCGGTGGTGTTATTTTGAAACCTTTTTTGGTGCCTGAATGAGCTGGGTGCAGAGCCATTAAGAATGTGAGGGGTGGCAGGGATGAGCAGCCTCGTTGCCGGTGCCTCTCTCAGCCCTCCCTTTATTTCTCTTATTTTTAGCCCTGCCCGTGGTGGGGGTGAGGTGGGCAGAGCTGCTCGGGCAGGCGCAGCGCTGGGTCAGCGGCTTCCGCGGGGGCAGCAGTTGCCAAGACTTCAGCCCATGCTGAATTTTTATTTTCATTAATTTGAACGTCAGCAACTGTCATTGGTGAAGGAGGTAAAATTAGCTCACGATTCACCTCCCTCCTTGCTATCCATAATAGACTCCCGGGACTGTGCTTTTGAAGCAGGGAAGGAGGGGAGGAGGGAAGAGTCACACAAAAGACAAATGAGCTGTTTGGATAGATGCTTTTTTCCCTCCCCAGTCAGAAATGTTAATTGACTTGGCCCGAGTTCAGCCGAGGGAGGGGAAGAAGTGTTCAGCTTGGCTCTGAATGGGGTTGTTTGAGGCTCTGCAGACGTGCTGGTGGGATGGAGGGATGGAAGGAAAAACCCAGAGCTCTGGGGAGCTGCTGCAGCCTGACCCTTGTGAGCTGCTCACCCTTGGGGGAGCCCCATCTCTGGGGGGCTCTGGGGCCAGTGTGTCCCCCTCTTCTACAGCTTGGACCCCTTGGCCCTTTCCAGCCATCACCCCTCTGGAGAGGTCAGGTGATGGTGGGATCAATAGTGGGGCCTGAGCTCTGTGCTCCCACCTTGCCAGTCACTGCCACAGCCTGTCTGAGGCTCTGACACACACCCCTCTGTCCCCAGGGGGGCTGAGGCACCCCCATCCCCTCAGTCCCTTGTGGTGAGCCTGGCCAGGAGCTGTGCTGCTGGGGGTGCTGGGTTGGACCCTCCCTGGGAGTGCAGTGAGTGCCACCGGCTCTGGCAGTGCCAGGGGTGGGTGCCCAAAGCCAGTCCCTGTCCCTTCTGGTGGAAGGAGCACTCAGGTAAGTGGCCACAAGCCAGTGAGTGGGAGCTGTGGCAACGCTGGGAGCCATTGGAAGGGATATGGGGGCAGATCCAGGGGGAATTGATGGCACCTGTAACCCAGGATCTGCTCCCCCCTCCCTCCCTGCTTCTCCAGGACCTGCAGCGATGCCAGGGGGGATGTGTCGAGGCACAGGGGTCTAAGCTGGACCCCACTGTGTCCCCCAGATCAGGAGTGTCTGTCCCAGCACCCCCTAGGCCCCCCCAGCTCGGAGCAGTGGGGTGATGGTTGGCGCAAGCGGCGCTGACGTCCCGCCCGGCCTTGGCGGAGAAAGGATTGAGCATCCTTTAAAGAAAATTATACATAATCGTCTTACAGCCTTCGCTTCCACTCAAACCTCTGAGTCATAACTGAAGGGCCCTGGAGCGTGACGTTCCTGCTGGAAGGAAATTGCCTGGGCTGGATCCGGTGGGGGGGCCCGACAGAGCCTCCCCCCAGCCCCGTGTTGGGCTGGGGGCTGCGCCGCGGCCCTGGGGGGAGCCCCGGGATGCTCTGTGGCCACAGCCCTGCGTCACTGCCTGCCTGAAGGGATGTGACCCCAGCCCCGGCCCTGGCAGGAGGAGATGCCTCTGGAAATGGCTCTTTACCTGCTCTGCTGAGTCACAGGGAGCAGAGGAGGGAGAGGGGCTGATGTGAAGCCCCCACCCCATCAGGGTGTCCCCTCAAGGGATGGTGACACACCTGAGCCCCATCCCTGCCAGAAGGGGCTGCACTGCCCCATTCTGCAAACACAACCAGCCCCTGGACACCCCAGAGTCAGTGCCTGGAGCTGGGATCTGCACCCCCCTCTGCTCCCCAGAGCAGCTGGGCTGCTCCCTGGGAGTCCAGGGGGGCTCAAAGACAGCCCAGGGAGGAGGGGACACACCGTCCTTGTGGTCCAGTGCCCATGTGCTGGGAACCACCAGCTGCTGTGTGCTGGGGCAGTGGGGGACAGACCAGTCCCCTGTGGGAAGAGGGAGGGACATGCAGTCTCAGGCTCCCAGCCCTGCACATGCCCTGCTGGGGATCCCTGTCCCGTTCTCCTGAGGCTCCTGTTTCCCACAGGAGCAGGGTCCATCCCTGGGAGTGGCAGCTGCCCACCCCCTCACTGTGCCCGTTGCCTTGCAGGACAGGTGCCTGAGGAGGAGGCCGGGCAGAACGGGCAGAGCCGGGGCAGGGGGCTGCCCAAGGCCGTGTGCATGAACGGGACGGAGCCGGGGCAGCTGAGCGCCAGGGCCAAGGGCGAGCGCCGCGCCAGCGCCTCCTCCAACCCCTCCCGCAAGGCCTGCTCTGCCAGCAGCAAGATCCGCAAGCTCTCCACCTGCAAACAGCAGTGAGCTCTGCCCAGGTACCGCGGGGGGACCGGGGGGGCTGCCCGAGGAAGGGGGGCAGGGGCAGCAGGAGGGAGCTGGAGGGGTGTGTTGTAGTCTGGGTCCTGAACGTCCCCCTGCAAGGGTCCCTGGCACCAAAGCCCGTGGTGTTGGGGGGTGCAGAGCCCAGTGGGGACGCCTCATGCCTGCCTGGCTCTGCTCTGTTACCCCTTGCAGGGTGTTGCCCCACCAGGCAGGAGCTGCTGTCATGACCCCTGTCCCTGCTGGGCTGCAGCCAGGCTGTGTAGTGACACCCCTTTTCCTTGGCACCCCCTCCCAGGCTCCACTCCTGGCCTCACCACCCTCCTGGATTTGAGGAGCACAGAGGAGCTGGGCTGCAGGGGGATGCTGAGCACTGGGGTGTCCTCAGAGAGGCCCCCAAGGGACCTGCCCCTGGCCCAGGAGGTGTCTGTGTCACCCATGGCCAGGCCACTGCTTGCCCAAGCCCCTTCCCCTCCCCTCCCTGCTTCCCCCCCTCCTTCCGGCTCCTTCTTCCCCGGCTCCAAGCCCTGTCCCCTCCTTCCCACCCCTCATTCATAACTGAGCCAGCAGTGACTCATGTTCAGCCTCATCCGCCCCCGGCCTCATGCTCGTCACGGCGCTGCTGGGGCTGAGCTCTGTTATCTCCTGGATCACGACCAGCTTTGTGGTGTGAAAAAAGCCCGAAATAAAAGCTGGATCCTCCCCCTGCAGCTGTCAGGGGCCGTGGCAGCTCCATCTTTAATTCATGGGGGCAGTGAGTCACCTGTGCAGGGAGTCGGTGCAGCCAGAGCCTGGGACGGGGCTCCCCGGACCTGCTGCTCCTCCCACCCTTCCCACTGCCGGGCCTGGGGGCTCCAGGGATGCTGCTGGAAGGGGAGGGTCTGTGCAGGCTGCCCAAGCCTGGCTGAGTCCCCACTCCACCTTAGCCTAAAAACCTTCGGAAGGAAGGGAATGCTCCCCTCCTTGGCATAAAGGATTCACCTTGGGGTCATTTTCCCCTTGGAGTTTTTCTCCTCAGCTTCAGGGCAGGTCTGGGCTCACCTGGCTGAAGGACCAGCTGTGCATGAGCCCTCACCAACCCTCCAGGGACAGCACAGGGACCCCGGGCTCCTGTCCCCCATCCCAGGGTGCTGGCAGGAGCCTGGGTGCAGGGTGTGACCCTCTGGCAGTCGGGAGCAGAGCCTGCACCCCGAATTGGGCACCCCCTGCCCTCCCTCACCCCTCCTCTCTGTTCTCCCCACAGCATCCCCGGGCCCGGGCCTGCGTCCCCCCTCCTCGCCCCAGCTCTGCCTCTCTCCTGGGACTGGACTGTGCTTGCGATCCAAAAAGAAACCAGAGGAAACCAACCAAGGACCCCCTTCCCTCCCCGCGCCCCCCGCTCCGGCAGCGCCAAGACCCGAGGCCGTGGTGGCCGCACTCCCCGGATGCCTGGACGTTGAACTTTGCAGCTGCCAGGACGCTGCCCCCCCCAATCACTCTTTGCCAATCAAGACACTGATTCTGTTTTTAATTTTGCGATGGGAAGGTGGGATGAGGGGGCTGGGGAGGTGGGACCCGCCCCCCCCGCTGGGCCCCCCGGCCGTGTAGAGTCGTGCAAAGCCATTGCCGTGCACTTTATGTTTTAGACTACTGTTATATATTATATATTTTCCTCTTTTTTTTTTTTTTTTTTTTTTTTTTTTTTTTTTTTTTTTTTTTTTTTTTTTTTTTTTTTTTTTTTTTTTTTTTTTTTTTTTTTTTTTTTTGTTTTGTTTATATTTGCGGTATATTTAGAGATTCCTACACATCGTGATGTGTTAAAATAAACCAGATGAGGAAAAAAACCCAGGTATTAAGACAAAGCAGAACTCTGTTACACCTGCATGCTGCACGGGGGCTCTGAAGGGAACAGGGCCTGGGAAGGGCTCAGGGCTCGGAAGGGATCAAGGCCTGGGAAGGGCTCGAGCTCAGAAGGAATCGGGGCACTGGCAGCCACTTGGCTCCTTTTTTCTCTCTCTTTTTTTTTTTTCTTCTTTTTTTTTTTTTTTTTAAAGAAAATAAAGTGAAAACAGCAGGTGGGTTTCATGTCCTTCCTCCTGCAGCAGGCGGGGTAGGGGCCACGACCAGCCCCTCTTCTCCCTTTTCCTTTTGGGAGGGCACAGCCCACCCAGGCAGACCCTGCTCTCGTGGGGTGATGCCAGGCCTGGAGCCCCCCTGCCCCAACCCCCCAACCCAGTGGGCACCATCCCGGGAAGCAGAAGGTAAGAAATAAGCTCAGAGATGTCACAGTCGCTTGGTTTTGTTTTTTCTCCTTTGTTTATAGACTTAAAAACGCGGGGTTGATGGAGGGAGGGCTTTGGGCAGAGCCTGCGCAGAGGGAAGGGGGGACCCGGCCTCTACTCACATGCAATGGGGTCTGGGGGCCCCTGCCTGTCCCCTCCCCTGCTGCCCAGTCCCGGGTGCCGCAGCTGGGGCTGGGCTGGGATGACGTTTTTTTCTCTTTTTTTTCCCCCCATCCTTTGAAACACAAATAAAAACCCAATAAAAAGCAAACCCCACCCCGGAGCAGCAGCCACCTCTGTAAAAATCAATAAATATCCTCCTGGTGCCTCGAGCCCCCGCTGAGCCCTGGGCGGTGGGAGACACTGGGAGGGTCACCCACAGCGTGCACTGGGGACCCCATGCTCTGCTCTCACCCTGTACCCCCACCTGGGCAGCCCCCACCCCTCCAGGGGGTATTTATGGGGCCCCCAGGGCCGGTCCTGCCCACCCCAGCCCTCAGGCTCACCTGTGGCCCCTCGAGCAGCCCCCTGCCCCAGACCCTCCTCTTCCAGTTTAGATCCCAGGCTCCCTGCGGAACTGGGGGGATGGTGGGATTGAGGAGGTAGCTCCCCCCTCCCCAAACTGCCCCCCCTGCCAGGGTGGCACCGCAGCATCCCCGGGTGGGGAACAGCCCGCTCCGGCCCCTTCCTGGTGGATGTTCCCGGCCGGAGGAGAGGCTTTATTGCTTGTAGAACCACGGAGAGAGGGAGAGCGGAGCTGCCTCGGGGCTCTGCCGGGGGCTCAGGGGGGTTCAGCAAAGTCCCTCGGCGCTGACCCCCGGCCAACACTTGACTCCTTCTCTGCGCCCCGACCCCTGGGGCATCCCCCAGCCCGGGCCCTCTCCTGGCCCCTCGCTCCCAGGAGCCAGGGGGCTCGGCCACCCCACGCTACCGGACCCCCGCAGTGGGGGGTACAGCCAGGGGACCCCACGTGCCCTCCTGGCCTTGCCAGGCCGGGATACCCTTCCCACAGGGCACCAGGCTGGTCCCCACGCCGGCAGCAGGAGGGGATGGAGCCCCGAACCCTAGTGGGCACCAAGTCCCCCCATGCCAGGGTCTCTCCCCCTCGTGCTGGGCCTAGACCGGGCTGTGGTCGGGGGGGGCATCGCTGGCCGCCACGGCCACCACGGGCTCGGGGGTCTCTCCCGCTCTCCTCAGGTGCCCATAGAGCCGCTCCTCCAGGCCACCCGTGATCTTGTCCATCAGCTCTGAGCCAGAGCCAAGCCCCAGGCACCTGCCAGGGCCGGGGCAGTCGTCGTCCTCAGGGGGTTCAGAGCCAGCCTTGGGCTCAGGGGCCGCCTCGCCGGGCTCCTCCACAATCACTTGGATCTCCGGGTCGGGCAGTGCCGGGGCGGGAGGGACCCCATCGGCCGCCTCGGCCGCCTCCTCGTCACCAGCGCTGACGATGCGGGGCAGGGGGCTGTGGAACCGGGCGTCCAGGGGGTAGTTGGCGCTGTCGCCGCGGCGCAGGGGCGTTCGGTGCCGCTCCAGCGCCGGGTACCGCACGCCGGGGTCGCTGAACTGCTTGGCGTGCTGCCACTGCTTGCGCAGGTGGGTGCGGGAGCGGTGCTTCCCCCGCAGCGGAGACTCGTCGAACTGGGGGTCGTGGCGCACGAAGGCGTTGAACAGCGCGTCCGTCTTCTCATCGATGCTGTAATCCCGCCGGGGCGGCGCGTCCCGCCCCGGGAACATCTGCCCGTACGGCGACCAGGCCAGGGGGCTGTGGGGACGGAGGTGTCCCCCACCCGCTGCGCCCAGGGCCGCGCTCCCACCCTCTTCCTCCTCCTCTTCTTCCTCCTCCTCCTCCTCCGGCTCCCGGCCCTCGAAGCTCTCGAAGATGGTTCCTTTCCGCCCAGCGCTGGTGAAGCAAATGCGCTTCTCGGAGGCCGTCTGGTCCTTGGGGGGCCCCTCCTCGCCGCCCCGGCTCGGCGCCTCGATGGAGGCGTAGCCGCTGTCCATCTGCAGCAGCTTGCGGGTGCCGGGCTCTGACTCCTCTGTCTTGGACCGACCCCAGAACTTCTCCTCGGGCCCTTCGGCCTCATCCAGGGAGGAGGAGGGGCAGGGGGCCACGCCGCCGGCAGAGGAGACGCTGTCCCCGCCATCGCTGCGCACGGAGTCCTGGTCGTTGCTGCGCTCGGAGGCCGCGTACAGCTCCAGCGAGGCGCGCAGGCTCCAGATGTCGTGGTAGGCGCTGGGCTGCTCGGGGCCGCCGGCCTCGCCGGGGCTGCCTGCACCCCCCTCGCCCGGCTCTAGCCTGTGGGCACCACCCCCGTGTCACGGCAGGGACAGGCTGGTCCCAGCCATCAGCGGGCAGGGAACGTGCCAGCCCGGCCCCTGCAGGTTCCACAGTGATGCCATGGTGCCACCCGGTCCCCCATGCTGTCCCCACCACCCTGCCCATGCCCCACCCCATCCTCCTCATCACCATCACCAGCTCCCTCCAGACCCGGTTGCCCCATCAAAGCCTCACAAAAGCAGGAGCCCCCCATGCCCAGGGTATCAATGGGCCCCAGGGTGCCTCACCCATCCCCATCCCCTCTTATCTACTGAAAAATACCTGCCGAGAGAGGGTGGGGGGCTGGCGGGGGAGGGTAGGAAGGGGCCCCCCGCGGGGTGGAAGGCCACGTCATCGGTGTGGGCGATGTACTGGATGATGTCGGTCTGGTGGGGGTCCCGGTCCTCCTGGTCCATGCTCTCGCTGGCCGCCCGCTGCCGCTGGAACTGCCGGCGCTTGGGGGACCCTGGGGGACGCAGGGCAGGGCTGGGGGCACAGTCCCCTCTGGCACCACGAGCCCCCTGCCCACGCGTGCCCATCCACCCCACGCAGCCCCGCGGGGCCCCCCCTTGCCTCTGGTGTCCAGGCTGGATGCCCTTTGGGTGCTCTCCAGCTTCCACTTCTTGATCCTGAAGTAGGGGCTGGCCCCGTCCAGGCTGGCGTGGCGGCGCAGGCGGGTGAAGAACTGCAGGACGGTGCCCTGGGGGGGGGTCGGAGGGGGCTCCCCGGGGCCAGCACTGCCCCCCCCAACCTCCTTCCCGCTCCTGAGGGCTGCTGCAAACTGAGGGGGGGGTGGGGGGGGCATGAGTGCCCACTCGGCCCCACTGATGGCCCCCCCTGACCCCCCCGTATCCCACTCAGCTCCTTTGTCTGCTCTGCCGAGCTGGGCTGCAGCAGATGC